GCCCATACCAAAACCCCACCGCCACCATGGGGCACTCCGTTCACAACGTTGACATCAGCAAACTGCTCACCCACACGATGCCATTAAGTGGTCTGCCGTTGTGAGGCCGGTTGGACGTACTGCCAAACTATTTAAAACGACGTTGGAGATGGCTTATGGTAGAGAAATGAACATTAAAATCTCTGGCAACAGCTCTGGTGGACATTCCTGCAGTCAGCATTCCAATTGCACGCTCCCTCAAAACTTGAGACATCTGTGGCATTGTGTTGTGTGAAAAAACAGCACATTTTAGAGTGGCTTTTTATTGTCCCCAGCACAAGGTGCACCTGTGTAATGCTCATGCTATTTAATCAGCTTCTTGATATGCCACACCTGTCAGGTGGATGGATTATCTTCGCAAAGGAGAAATGCTCACCAACAGGGATGTAAACAAATTTGTGCACATCATTTGAGAGAAATAAGCTTTTTGTGCGTATGGAAAATATTTGGGATCTTTTATTTCATCTTATTAAACATGGGACTAACACTTTACAGATTGCGTTAAGATTTTTGTTCAGCGTATGTTGCTTCAATTAAAATCAACTTGCCACTCAACTCGCGCGGCTCAATTAATTTCTCCCAATCTCTGTACTTGCAGCCTACGCAATGGGCATATTTCCATAGTGATAGGTGGCGTCACCGTAATGCAAGTGCAGAGACTGGGAGTTGACAGTGCGAAATGCATCGCATCTGGAAGACACTTTGATCCAATTCTGATCTGCGTAATTGTTTGATATCGTGATGTGTGATTTTTATACCATTCGGACAAGTTAAATCTATAATTCGGCTTGTCCGACAATTTTTTCTACCTGTCCCGGACTGTCAAGCACTGCTATGCAAGGTTGTTCTTGACATCCTCTTTCTCCGGGAGCTTACCTGCTCCAGCCGGTAGGCAGTCTCTCTCTGCATCTGCTGCAGGGCGTTCTTGGCGGCACCGTCCTGGTAAACCAGTTTGTCCCTGGACTCCTTCAGCTCCCTCAGCAGCTCCTCCACCCGCCCCTCCAACTGGAAGAGACACAAAATACATTGTAGGGTGAAGTTGCCCCTAGACACTGACCTTGGGACTGTTTTGCATTTCCCCCACTAATGGCTAAGGTTTGGGGAGGGGAAACTGATCCTAGATCTGTAACTAGGATTAACATCACCACGGATCAACAAAGAGTAGAGGACGGGTCCGTCAGGTTAGACAGGGAGAGACCTGAGTTAACCTGCCTTACCTGACAAGCATACAAACTTACATAACAGTGCATTCAGAAAGTATTCACAAGCCTTGATTCTTTCCACATTTTGTTGTGTTACAGCCTGAATTAAAAATGTATTACTTTGAGATTTTTTTTGTCACTGGCCTACACACAATACCCCATGATGTCAAAGTGTAATTAAGTTTTTCAAAAAGTTTACAAATTATTTAAAAATGAAAAGCAGAAATGTTTTGAGTCAATAAGTATTCAACTACTTTGTTATAGCAAGCGTAAATAAGTTCAGGAGCACACATTTGCTTAACAAGACTCACTCTGTGTGCAATAATAGTGTTTAACATGATTTTTGAATGAATACTTCATCTCTGTACCCCACACATAAAATTATCTGTAAGGTCCCTCAGTCGAGCAGTGAATTTAACACAGATTCAACCAAAGACCAGGGAGGTTTTCCAGTGCCTCGCAAAGAAGGGCACCTATTGGTAAATGGGTGAAGAAGAAAAAAAGCAGATATTGAATATCCCTTGAAGTTATTAATTACACTTTGGATGGTAAATCATTACACCCAGTCACTATAAAGATACAGGCGTCCTTCCTAACTCAGTTGCCGGAGAGGAAGGAAACCGCTCAGGGATTTCTCCATGAGGCCAATTGTGACTTTAAAATAGTTAGAGTTTAATGGCTGTGATAGGAGAAAACTGATCAACAACATTGTAGTTACTCCACAATACTAACCTAATTGACAGAGTGAAAATTAGGAAGCCTGTACAGAATAAAAATATTCCAAAACATGCACTCGATTTGTAACAAGGCACTAAAGTAATACTGCAATAAAATGTGGCAAAGCAATTCACTTTTTGTGCGGAATACAAAGTGTTATGTATGGGGCAAATCCATTACAACACATTACAGAGTACCACTCTCCATATTTTCAAACATAGTGGTTGCTGCATCATGTTATGGGTATGCTTGTAATCGTTAAGGACAGGTGAGTTTTTCAGCATTAAAAAGAAACGTAATGGAGCTAAGGCACAGGCATAATCCTTGAGGGGAAAAATGGTTCAGTCTGCTTTCCAACAGACACTGGGAGATTAATTCACCTTTCAGCAGGACAACCTAAAACACAAGCCCAAATCGACACTGGAGATGCTTACCAAGAAGACAGTGAATGTTCTTGAGTGGCCGAGTTACAGTTAAATCTACTTGAAAATATATGGCAAGACCTGAAAATGGTTGTCTAGCAATGATCAACAACCAATTTGACAGAGCTTGAAGAATTTTGAAAAGAATAATGGCAAATGTTGCACAATCCAAGTGTGGAAAGCTCTTAGAGACTTACCCAGAAAGACTAAAAGCTGTAATCGCTGCCAAAGAAGCTTCTACAAAGTATTGACTCAGAAATTAGACATTTCTGTATTTATTTTTCAAAACATTTGCAAACATTTCTAAAAACATATTTTCACTTTGTCATTATGGGGTATTGTGTGTAGATGGGTGAGAACAATATATATTTCATCCACTTTAAATTCAGGCTGTAACACAACAAATTGTGGAATAAGTCAGGGGGAATGAATACTTTCTGAAGGCACTGTACCGCCAAAAGGCTACAGACAGGCAAGATTAAGAGTTTAATGAAGATTTTATTTATTTATTATGATAACAGCGGTGAATAACACAAACAAAAAGGGGGATATTGTTAAGCTCTTTCATAGCGATGGGTAGTTGTTAAAACTTTTTCTAAAACGCACACGGACGGACAACAAACTGAAGGACGGACAGACAGAAACACGTCTCTCGTCACTGCTCTGATGCTAGTTGTGCACCTGGCGACAGCAACTATCGCCTGTCGTCCAGGCAGTCTGCTTTGTTTGGTAATGTTATTACTGCTTTGACAGGGTCCCCACATTTTGATCAAATTAAATGGTCATCTTGCTGTGACCATCTGTTCTCTAACAAAACACCACCTCTCTTATAATGACTTGAATTATAGATCACTCAGAGATTGGAAATTAATGTCCCCCGTTGGGCTATAAAGGTTCCCTGGTTTTCATTCAAGCTGACCCATTTTTAAAAAGCGGTCGAGACAGAAATCATATCACCTATTCTGGCTTTCTCGAATGAAGAGTCAAGGTGTTCTGAAAATCACCAATCACGACTCAAGAATCACTGGAATCTGGTGCAGTATAAAAGATAGACTACATTAAGAACTACAAGACATGAGTTTAGATGGCATACAATTTGTGTGCGTTCTGGATACGCCGATTCTGCTAATATTGTCAGATCTTTACAATGTAGCACATCATCTGCAGAGATCGTCACTGAATTTGTGCATCTGGAATGCACTCTTTGTTTAGTCCTGGCCCTGCTATGACTTTGCCTACTAGGATAACTCCACCTGGCCTTGAAGGTCAATTGGTCATATCATATGTAGTCTGAACTTCTACCAGGGCCCGTATTCATAAAGCGTCTCAGAGTAGAAGGGCTGATCTAGGATCAGGTCACCCTTGTCCATATACAGCCTCAAGAAGACTTGAGGCTGTAGTCGCTGCCAAAGGTTATTCAACAAAGTACTGAGTAAAGGGTCTGAATACTTATGTAAATGTAATATTTCAAGGGGGGTTTTCCAATACATTTCCCCAAAAAATTCTAAAAACTGTTTTTGCTTTGTCGTTATGGGGTATTGTGTGTAGATTGATAAGGGAAAAAAATATTTTATCCATTTTAGAATAAGGCTGTAACGTAACAAAATGTGGAAAAAGTCAAGGGGTCTGAATACTTTCCAAATGCACTGTATAGGAGGACCTGTTTCAAATTATTACTGTTAACCGCTCAACACAGAATAGCCACTTGGCGCACTCCCTTTATGCAGCTATGTTCAATTGTATTCTTCTTACTATAAAATAATGCCACGGGAATTATAAGCAAATCGTATCTGCTAAATGAACTAGTGTAGCCCACAGCTATATGGCATTGCCAGATCAAAGCCTGGAATTAATGCAGGACATGTTCATAAAAAGGCTGCAAGTAAAAACCCACATGATCATGGACAATGACACACACCCACTCCACAGCACTCTAATGCAACACAGGAGCAGCTTTAGTAGCAGGTTCATCCTGCCCAGATGTTCCACAGAGAGGTTTCGACTGTCATTTTTACCCACAGCCATGAGGCTTTTTAATGAGTGTAATTGATGAACTGTTTTATGGGGTCTTTCTATTGGTCTGTTCTTCTGAAATAGGCTACATTTTCTTCATATCATAATGTTTCTTTAGACCTGCCTAAAATAAATAATAGATTTATTGTGATGGTTAGGCTATATTAAATAGATGTATTATACTTTTTTAAATGTAGATGTTCCAAAAGGTCTGCATCAGTGGCTTTTAGGCTATGCGTGGAAGCCCGGAGATGCTAAACGCGTTTATGTTAATTAACAGTCGATTACCATCAGACCAGCAGTTATTTGCATGACCAGCACAGCCTGCTAGGGCATAAGATTTCTCAACAGTCAGTTTTCCCTTGCCACCATGGCTTGATCTTTTGAAGGTTCAACCTGGGTTTTCATTATGTAGGTTGAGACGCATTTGTGGGGGGAAAAAAACATTATCATTGAGGCATCAATATCATTATTCACAATTGAGTAAACTTGTAGCATCTCTGTAAACTACCAACATTAGATGATTAAAATGGGAAACTCAGGTGAGAAGAGAGCTCTTCACTGATGTCTGAGCCTGACAGCCCATAGGCCAGCAGCCTATCTCATATTATCTCTTATTTGCACTGTGAGGCAGCTTGATGTACAAGTACACCCCCTGGACAGGACAATAGTCTGGAGTTGGAGTGCTTACCTTCTTCACGGTGCCCATGTGCTTTTTCTCAGTCTCCACCCTCCTCTTCAGTTCATCCCTCATGGTGTCCTTCTCTGAGCAGATACCCAGGATCAGCTCCTGGTGCTTCTTGTTTTCATCCAGCAGCCTATAAGTTCAACAATCCAAGCGTAAGGGTACGGCCACACAGATGCATGACCAAGGATGGAAATTGTATATGAAGTACGTTTTTGTTCGTCAAAAAAAACCATACCTTAGCCTAACGTTTCAAATACACAAGAGCGCATTTTCTCAAGAACAAACTTGGGATATTGCAGCTTGCGATTGCAGAACGTGCATAAAAATAAGAGATAAGAGAACTCATCTATCCACAAAAACAAAAAGGCAGGGATATACAGTAGACCTACACTGGTATCATGTGAATGTTTACTTAGCACACAATATACCAAATTATAGCGACATACAACTTCATGACTTTGTTACACATCACCATGGTATTTATTACCTTTTGATAGCCTTTTCCTGCTGCACATACTTGTACTGGATGCACTTCTCGAAGACCATCGTGGAGCCGTCCTGGTCAGCCTGCATGCCATTTACATGGGGGCCACCCTTGCACCCCCCTCCCCCTCTCTCGGGCAGCTGGCAGGAGAGCAGCTCCTGCTCCAGCTCATCCAATAGGGACTCCTGGGAGACCGAGCGCTGGATCTCAGTCATGAGCTTGCGGCTGCAGTCCGTGTCGTAGGGGCTGGGCGAAGAGTTGGTGTTCGGGGGGGCCATCGTTTGGGGACTGGAAACTCCAGAGTCTGCAATGTCAGAGCTGGGTGTGGAGGGCGTGGCTGGGCTATTGGCGACCACTGAATCTTGGATGGCGTTTGCCTTTGTGGTGGAGGGTTCCACGGAGCATTTGAGGGCACCATCGACAACAGATGGTGGAAATTCTGCGCCTCTGTCTGGAATAGAGGTTGAGGAGTCACCCACTCCATCTAGAGTAGCGGGTGGAGATTCCACTGCCTTGTCCTGAAGCGACGCCAAACTTTCTATCATCACCTCCGAAACAGAGTTGGTGCTTTCCATTACCTCATCCAAGACCGAGAGGGGACGTTCTGTTGTCCCATCTACAAGGGCAGGGGGAGTTCTTGCATCTTCCATTGAGGCTGTCTCAATGTCACAGCTAATGTCCACATTGACAGACTCCACTCCACCCTCTTGCTGACACTTTTTCTTCTTCTTGTGTTGTATCCCATCTCCCTCCAAACTCTCCTGTTCGACGTCATTCCCCCTTTCTGCACAGACCTCGTTTTCCTCCATCTTTGTGTCACTCCTTTTGCTCGTGTTGACCCCTGAGGACCCCTTTGGCAGGGAGTTGCCCTCTGACCCCTGGGGCAGATCTGAGGCAGAGGCTGGGTGAGACTTCTCCATGGTTTTCCTCAGCTCCACACCTGACACACAGAGAGAGGGATGTGGAGTAGAGAGAGAGGTGAATGGGAATGAAAGTCTGACATTACTAAGTACGTAATATGAAACACTTCCAGCATAAATTGCACATATAGCCTAGGCCTAGAGGATACCATATGGCATTTGACAGGGCAGGAGTTAGGCTAATAGTTTTAATGGGACTATTGCCAAACACCACTTCCTTTTACAGTAACAGACAGTGACAATGATGCCACTTTAATTTCCTTTTCCTTCTTACCATTAACCTAGCTGGGCAAATCAGGGTTCTATACTAACTTTTCTGCGAAATCCTCTAGAGTGCTGAATTTGAAAAAAACGGTACTTGATACCAAAACAATTCCAATCCGTGACCAGATCTTTTATGTCTGAGGCTCTGTATCCGTGAGTGCGCAAATTCTCGCAGTATCTCGCGGGAATTTGGGACGTTAATCATTTTCTCATGCCGAAACAGGATTAGATACGTAGCTACTTAGAGTTAAAAGACCCAAAACATGATATTCGCAATATCACTAAGCAAAAAACAGTACAATTTCAAAACATTATTTTGTCATTAGCTCAGTACCATTTGCTTGCTTTTGCGGACCCACGACTATGGTATATCATCATTAGCTAGCTAGCTAAAGTTAGCATGCTAGCGACGCTAGTGTTAGCTAGATAGCTGGCCAGCGTTCGCTACATAGCTAGCAAGCTCTAGTCTAGTCCAATGGAAACCGATGCAACCCTGATGGCTACGTGGCTAGTTAGATGACCTGTGGTGACAGTGAGGTCCCTATGAGATTCAAGGCTTTAATAAGTACCATTGTGCAGAAATAGAAAATAAAATACTGGTTGTCCATGCAACTTGTGACTTGTTTAGCACATTTTTACTCTTCAACTTATTTAAGCTTGCCATAACAAAGGGGTTGAATACTTATTGACTCAAGACATTTCAGCTAAAGAAAGCTGATTATAATGTAGCAGCCTATGCTGACTAGTGTCACTAGCATGCTAAAGTTAGCTAGCTAATGTCAACACACTATAATCGTGGGTCCGCAAAATCAAGCAAATGGTACTCTACTCATGACAGAAATCCTGATTTGACATTGTAGTGGCTATTGCTGTTTTGGTTGTTTGTTTTTTGTTAGTGACATTGCGAATATAATGTAACTAATCCAGTTTCGGCAAGAAAAATGCAAAAATGCAAGTAGCCTATACAGGGTTCATACAGATATTTGCAAGTCAAATTCAAGCACAAAGTATTTTTCAAGCACTTAACACTTAACTGCTGGGTGTCGATGCACCCCCCTTGAAACTAATGAGTAGTCATTCTGACTAACATTCTAACAGTGTAATTAATATATTTCATATATGCTATTGCAAAAACAATAATTTGGTTGTGTTTATGAAGGCCTTGGGTAGCAGAATACGATTTGTATTTTATTTCAAATACCACAACAGCATTTTCATTAGTTTGTTACTGTAGGCTATATGGAAGAAAAAAAATCAAGTGTTAAATCAAAGTTATTAATGGAGTGCCTTTGTCACAACTATGAAACAGAAAGCATATGTGTTGGAAGATGGTAAAGAGCTTATTTTTATAATGACACAATAAAAAATACCCCAACCACCAAGAAGCGCGGTCAAATGATGAAAACATCAGTAGCCTAAATATCATTATAAGCACCAAGTGGCATTGATAAATAGTGAAACTCAACACAAAATAAATCATGGCATTATGATGAATATAAGTGTCCATACGACAGTAGTCCAAAATAGTCAATTGTCAGCTCGTGCTTGTGTGCATCTTCACGCAATGGCATCAGTTGGATTTCATTAAGCTGTTATCCCTTGTACTAACAGTTCACACAATTTGGCCCTAGCCCTCAACCTCTGATCCAACAGGTCCCAGACGTGCTCAATGGGATTGAGATCCGGGCTCTTCGCTGGCCATGGCAGAACACTGACATTCCTGTCTTGAAGGAATCACGCACAGAACGAGCAGTATGGCTAGTAGCATTGTCATGCTGGAGTGTCATGTCAGGAGGAGCCTGCAGGAAGGGTACCACATGAGGGAGGAGGATATCTTCCCTGTAACGCACAGTGTTGCGATTGCCTGCAATGACAACAAGCTCAGTCCGATGATGGTGTACAGGCCTCGGTGTACAGGCCTCGGTGTACAGGCCTCGGTGTAACGCTCATTCCTTCGACAATAAACGCGAATCCGACCATCACCCCTGGTGAGACAAAACAGCGACTCGTCAGTAAAGAGCACTTTTTGCCAGTCTGTCTGGTCCAGCGACGGTGGGTTTGTGCCCATAGGCGACGTTGTTGCTGGTGATGTCTGGTGAGGACCTGCATTACAACAGGCCTACAAGCCCTCAGTCCAGCCTCTCTCAGCCTATTGTGGAAGGTCTGAGCACTGATGGAGGGATTGTGCGTTCCTGGTGTAACTCGGGAAGTTGTTGTTGCCATCCTGTACCTGTCCCGCAGGTGTGATGCTCGGATGTACCGATCCTGTGCAGGTGTTGTTACACGTGGTCTCCCACTGCGAGGACGATCAGCAGTCCGTCCTGTCTCCCTGTCTTAGGCGTCTCACAGAATGGACATTGCAATCTATTGCCCTGGCCACATCTGCAGTCCTCATGCCTCCTTGCAGCATGCCTAAGGCACATTCACGCAGATGAGCAGGGACCATGGGCATCTTTCTTTTGGTGTTTTTCATAGTCAGTAGAAAGGCCTCTTTAGTGTCCTAAGTTTTCATAACTGTGATTTTTACAAATTATCTTTGAAAGACAGGGTCCTGAAAAAGGGATGTTTCTGTTTTTGCTGAGTTTATATGAGAAAGTCTCAAAGATAGAGGCCCAGAATGGAGCTAGTGTCAGGCATGACCAATACATGTGATACAGAGTGACGGTTGCCTGATGGCATCTAGAGCAGGTTGAGTCTATATCTGGATACAATCTGGCAAGTCTACTCCTGCAAAAGTGTAGGCGATGAAATACTTTAAAATTGTAGTAACCCAGGTCTAGTGCAGATGATGAGTAAATCCTGTCAATTGCAGAATGCCAGGTGATATCGGAAATCTCGCTTCCAAACTCTTCCTCCCATGAACGCTTTACATGGTCAAGAGCGGGGCATGCAATATTCTGAATAATATCATACAGCACAGCATGTGTCCCTTACTACAGGGATCCAGGTTCAGACATTCATCAAGCCAGCTGGTGGGTGGGAGAGATGGGAAAGAGGGGAATATCGTTCTTTTAAAGACGAGAATCTGCAGGTACCTGAAGAAGTGTGTCTGGGGTATACCATGCTCTCTAACTAGATGTTCAACGGAGTTAAATACACAGTCATGGAAAAGGTATTTTACACTCTTTAATCATTTCTGAAGCCATAGCTGGAAGGCTGTCTATCAGGGAAGAGGTGAAGAGTGGGTTGGAAATAAAAGGCATGGATGACATAGCTGGTATACAGTACCAGTCAAAAGTTTGAACCACCTACTCATTCAAGGGTTTTTCTTTATTTTTAAATTGTAGAATAATAGTGAAGACATCAAAACTATGAAATAACATATATGGAATCATGTAGTAACCAAAAAAGTGTTAAACAAATACAAATATTTTAGATTTGAGATTCTTCAAATATCCACCCTTTGCCTTGATGACAGCTTTGCACACTCTTGGCATTCTCTCAACCAGCTTCATGAGGTAGTCACCTGCAATTAACAGCTGTGCGTTCTTAAAAGTTAATTTGTGGAATTTCTTTCCTTCTTAATGCGTTTGAGCCAATCAGTTGTGTTGTGACAAGGTAGGGGTGGTATACAGAAGATAGCCCTATTTGGTAAAAGACCAAGTCCATATTATGGCAAGAACTGCTCAAATAAGCAGAGAGAACCGACAGTCCATCATTACTTTAAGTCAATAAGGAAAATGTCAAGAACTTTTAAAGTTTCGTCAAGTGCAGTCGCAAAAACCATCAAGCGCTATTATGAATCTGGCTCTCATGAGGACCGCCACAGGAATGGAAGACCCAGATTTACCTCTGATGCAGAGGATAAGTTCATTAGAGAGTTACCAGCCTCAGAAATTGCAGCCCAAATAAATGCTTCACAGAGTTCAAGTCAAAGACACATCGCAACATCAACTGTTCAGAGAGGACTGTGTGAATCAGGCCATCATGGTCGATTTCTGCAAAGGAACCAATACTAAAGGACACCAATAAGAAGAAGAGACCTGCTTGGACCAAGAAACACAAGCAATGGACATTAGACCGGTGGAAATTTGTCCTTTGGTCTGGAGTCCAAATTGGAGATTTTTGGTACCAACCGCCGTGTCGTTGTGAGACGCAGTGTGGGTGAACGGATGATCTCTGCATGTGTAGTTCCCACCGTAAAGCTGTGCGGTGAGGTGTTATGGTGTGGGGGTGCTTTGCTGGTGACACTGTCTGTGATTTATTTAGAATTCAAGGCACACTTAACCAGCATGGATACCACAGCATTCTACAGCGATACACCATCCCATCTGGTTTGGGCTTCGTGGGACTATCATTTGTTTTTCAACAGGACAATGACCCAACACACCTCCATGCTGTGTAAGGGCTATTTGACCAAGAAGGAGAGTGATGGAGTGCAGCATCAGATGACCTGGCCTCCACAATCCCCCGACCTCAACCCAATTGAGATGGTTTGGGATGAGTCGGACCGCAGAGTGAAGGAAAAGCAGCAAACAAGTGCTCAGCATTTGTGGGAACTCCTTCAAGACTGTTGGAAAAGCATTCCAGGGGAAGCTGGTTGAGAGAATGCCAAGAGTGTGCAAAGCTGTCATCAAGGCACAGGGTGGCTAATTGAAGAAACTCAAATATAAAATATATTTTGATTTGTTTAACACTTTTTTGGTTACTACATGATTCCAGATGTGTTATTTCATAGTTTTGATGTCTTCACTTATTCTACAATGTAGAAAATAGTAAAAAGAAAAGAAAAACCCTGAGTAGGTGTGTCCAAA